CCCCCCCCCCCCCCATGAGCTCTTCTCGAAGGCGATCCTTCAGAATCTGACAATGAGATCGAGTCTCGTGGAGTGGAGAGAAAACAGAGTCGACAGCAGATGTGGGCCTCCATTCTCGACTTGTTCTGTCAAAACACGAACGACGTTTATAGGCGGTATACGAAAAACGGTCCGCGAGCACGAAGAATAGAGAAGAGAGCAGAAGTGTTTCCTTCGCGCTTAGAAGCGTAATTTATCGAACGATACGTGCTTTCGTCGCCGTGAAAAGCACGAGAAATTAGATCCCTTCGTGTTGCACGCGTGGGATGACGACCAATCTATTGCATCGTGTTACATAGAAACGAACAACATTTCTTATTCTTCCTCCATATCAAATTAAAAATTCAATGATATTCTTCTCACCTAAAATGCACAATTTTAATTTGGCAAACTGTATTTTATAATAATCGAATGTATCTTTGATGCGGAAATCCGGAGAATTATATAATTTTAAAAGATTGAAAGAATTTATTTGCGTGCATTTTCTTTATTAAAAAAATCTCAAAGTAAAACTATTTGGTTTTTTCATACTATTGTCTCTAAAATTAAAGAATAAAATTTTAAGATAAAAAAATAGCTAATTGTGTCAATTTTGTTTTTATTTTGTAAATGAAATTTACACATTGCTTAAATTATACGCTATACTTGTATTTTTCTCTACCTTGATTATCTTTTATTATTAAATTCTGAATCCAATAATATAAGAAAAAAACAATTTTTAATTAAGATTTTCTCTTATAGAAAAGATACATGAAATAGATCTTTCAAAATGATATAGGTAATTCTCCAGATTTTCTTATGATGTCCCGTCGACGACACGCTCGATTATCACAGTTCGATGAACGGGCCGATCATAATTTATCGTCGAAAACGCGACTTTGTGCCCCCCCATTATGCAAAATCACAACAACAACGGGACCGCGTCGTCCACTCGAGAGAATCGAGCTGGCTCCTCTAGTCGGGCCCCAAAGAGGTCCCGAGGAGGGCGAGAAAGTCATCAATTACGATTGGAAATAAATCGAAGGCAGATGGAACGATCGCCTACAGGGCTCGTCGCGACGGGTGACCGATTTCTCATCCCTCGCTCAACCCCCCGCGGACAATACGACTGTTTTCAGCAAATACAAAACGATACACGAGTTCGAACGTGATTGTCATTCTCGGAGACTGTGTAACGCGAATTTTCGATTTGTGCCGACGTTTACTGCGACAATATTTGAGTAATTTAGGGCTTCAATTGCCAAGCAGCTTTGCAGAATAATTTTACTAGAAAAAGTTTACCTATTCACCTATGTAAGCGCATTTACAATGTTTCAAGCAGTGTGTTGATATTCTTAAAAGACAATTTCGAATTAATTTTCACTGTAGAGTTAATTTGCTCTTGAATTTATCAAGAAGTTCGCCACGTGTTTCCTAGATTAAACTAAAATTAATTGCAAGGAGACGGTCGAATTATCAGCCAGGTCTTATCTGCTAAGCGTGGTTCCTGCGTCGTTACTTTGACAACTTAATAAAAAATAATCGGTTATTTGTGTTAGTAAAGTGTAATGAGGTACGCGATAACTTTATCTGCAGACCACAGGAAGTCGACAACGAGTTCAAAGATAAAAATTCTTCGCAAAGCCCTGCAAGACGTGAGAATATTGTGGGTTAACACCCGTTAAGCTTTGTTTGTTTAATCTGACATCAATCATAAAGTTACATGACAAAATATTAAATATTAGAGATGTTATTGTATTATTAGAAATACATACAAAAATCTCGACGAAAAATCTTAATTTAATAAGTCTATCCCGGCGCTTGAAATTATTAAGTTCAACAAATACGCATATTTTTTCTAGTATTTTTATAGCATTTTTAATAGCTATATAGTCATAAATAATGGCGATAATATATTTAATAAAAATATGAGAATCGATGATTTCCTTTAATTTCTTATTCTTTAAATTGCAGTTGTTCCGAATTTTCTCCATTCTTTAATCAATAATCCAATTATTATAAACTTCTGCGCTCTCATCCTCGAATAAAGTCGTCGTTGTCTTTCGTATCGAATCATCGCGAAAGGTTACACCCTAGACAGGGTCATTTGATATTGTCAACAAACGAGTCGTCGTCGAAGGTCCCGGGAATTTCTTCTTTCGTAGGGCTTCTTATAAGAATTCCTTCGCGCCGAATGCACGTCATCGTATTACACTCGCTCCGAGTTTCGCGCAACTACGACAGCTCATTTATCCCGTCGGACCGGTTACTCGTTCTTAAATCGCGAAACGATACTCGTCCTTCGAACTTTTCGTCTCTTCAGTGATGATCCCGTGTCGTTTGAAACAATAAAGCCGATTGGACGGGGAGATCGCAGATCCGATTTGATGGGATCAGGATAATACTCCCGGATTGCGCTACGCTCCGACGCCCACGGCTTCGTTCCTGCAAGGATGACGGTAGGGATTCGCCTCATCCCTTCGCAAACATGCGCGGAATTAAGGTGCATTACAGTTCTAATGGCGATGATCGTATATCTCAATTTAATTCTTTTGAACGATCAATGTTCAAACTTTACAAACTTCTTTTCTTGAATCCGAATTTTGGATAATAAAATTAACTTCAAAAATATTTTCGGCATTGTTTATCTATGTTAATTTTTCAAAATTTTGTGTTCTTCTGAGTGTTTTCGTAAAATTTCAGAGCTGCAAGACTTTGAAGATTTCAAGGCAATGCATTTTTTTATCATTGTCTCACTTTCCAAATTTCGAGATGACTTTTTCGAGACTTCAAGAGTTCTGATGCTAATTTGAAATTAATGAGCAGCGGTAACACTGTCAAAATGTTGTCGAAAATAATTTGAGATTGCAAATCAATTCCAGAATATCGAAATATTATGATTAAATCGTCTTACTTGGGATTATTGTATTCGTAAATAGTTTGCAGCTTCGACAGCAGAGTCAATAATGATTTTGCTTTTCGGTAGCTAGGTCCTTTTTTCAGGACATTCAAAATTCTCGGTTACATTTCGAGTGGTCATGCTTGGACGCGTTTTACGAAAGGAAACGATGCAAAATGATTAATGGAATCCAGAAGTATTTCATTCTGTTGCGAACGTTGTATCTTTCTTTAAGGATTCTCGGAGATCCTTCTCATGTGTGCTGCAGGCTACCGAAATTGCAAAGGCGTGCACGTTTTACTTTGGAATGGTTACCATCGCGCGATGAATTATGGTCACGCGGGGAAAAGTGTTTCTCCACACATTCCTTTACGGATCATTAACTAACAAAGCGACTTGTCGGTCGTGTCATTCCTCGTAAAAGCAGTTTAACAAAATTAACGATCAAAGTTTCGGAAATCGATTTGTGCACAAACAATTTTCTTTCTTCCTTTATTTCGAAATAACTTGGAACTTAAAAAACTACATATATAAATAATAAATTAAGAAAGACGGGAAAATATTAAAAACATGACTGACTCCTTAAAAATCTTGATATTATTTGTATTAATTATAATACATATCACGAGTTTCTTCAAATATCGATAGAACAATTAGAATTATGACAATCGCTTCGTATCACATAATATGAAGAAATTTAATAGATTACATACAATATCTACTGATACGACCGAAATACATAAACTATATGTCGTTCGGTAATCTTAGTATTCTCCGTCGTTATGCAGGTTTTGTGCAGGAGAAGGACGAAGTGTTGATTACGGTCGTCGAAATTCGCAAATGATATCTTTAATCTATAAACTCTTTACAAATATGTACAATGTAACAAAAAATGTTTTCAGCGACGATCACATTACTCAACTTAAAAGGTAAAACGTAAGCAGACGTAACGTTCCACACTGACTCATCATACGGCCGTGCGCCCGGGAATCGTCGTGATTCATGTATTTCGTCAATGACCAGCCGCCGTTCGATGACGCAACGATCATCATCACGGCCGTCTCTCTCATTAAACGCGATATATTCGCGATGATCGCTCTCACCGGTGAAAGGAGACGCGACGATCTCGTCTCTTCGCAATGGAAGACGAATAAAGGTATAATTCTTTCGGTGAACTTAAGATATAAATAGAGATCATCGTTTTGTTTCAGCAATCATGACACAAAGAATCGTCTATCTCTTCAAAAATATAATCAGACGTCTTTCAAGTTTGTTTCATGACAACATCGAGATTGAAAGAGAAAATATTATATTAAATTAAAAAATATACAATTATATTTAATAAATTATAGTATTTTAACGTGATCTTTCAAGAATAAACAACAAAATATTCGCGTTTTTGGTTCTGCTTTTTTGTTCATTGTTAAAAAAAGATTTATTACATATTTGAATGTAAAAATAAATCGGGCAGTATTCATATGATTGGTGTCATCAAAAAATGTGCAAAGAAATAAGAAATATTAGAGATAATATCAAAATTTTCTCCTTAAAGAGACGTCAAGTATATAGCAGTACTTTTTGACGCAAAGTACGCGAAACTGCCTGTTCTGCCACATTCGTTATTGTAATCTTGTAAGTCTTGTAAATCTTTGTGCGAGTTGTATTAAAAGTTTCGTGTAAATCGCAGAAATTCTACGATAATGCTATCATCCTAAAACGAATGGTGTTCTTTTCAATGTGACGATTATGTAACATTGTGAAAATTCGTAGAATACGCACAAAGTATAGACATTACGAATGCTTCAACCTTCGAGCGATCGATTAGTATCTCAGAGATATGCTGTTTTTTTATCATTGTGATGACAAAATGATGCATGCAATGTTTTTCGATCTCCTTCATTTTAGAGTTTATCGCGCAGAACTCACGAGATTGAAAAAGATGTTTTTTTACAACAATCAGTCGCAGTTAACTAAAATGTTGAAGAGAAATAACAAGTTATTCGCGAATTAATTAGCTGCAGTTATATTTGTGGCTAAAATTAATTGCGAATATCGGTGAAGACCGACTATCACCGATGCTGCGAGAATTATCGTGAGACAAAGCTTCCCATCAAACTTAGCAATGGCAATTATGTATCCAAGATAAATCTCGCTGTAAGCAAATGCGACGAGACATTTTACCGAATATAAAAATGCATAAAGATTCATTTATTCGGATATAATTCAGATTTTTCTCTATCGTTATGTCGGGATAAATCTATATTATCAGCCCTGGATTGATAATATAAGCATTATGAATACTCGATATAAAAAGCGGCATATTTTCAAGACTCTTTTTTTTAAGTAGGAAATATTAATAAAAATAAATCTGTTTTATTATATTTAAAAAAATGAGTAAAATTGATTATTTATTTAATCACGTTTGCTTGGCTACATTATTAAATAAATAATAATTTTTGCTTTCTTAACATAACTTGAAATATCGCGGCATCGAATAATATGTCTACACAAGCGATGAAAAATCCAGTTTCGATCGCGACAGATTCGGTAGAATGCAAGGGTAGCATCATTTGTGTCATTCATTAATCGATCTACGCGCTCATCTATGCCGCAGAACAGGCGAGGATCATTTCTCCGAGCGCGGTTTGCGCAAATTTTGTTTCCATTTACCCATCGACGTTGCCAAGACCAAGATCAAGAGTAGGACCTAAACAAGATCGAGACTCGTTATCGATCATTTGGGATGGTAGACCGGCAGGACTCGCGCGAGCCTCAGTAGGCCCGCAGCCGCACTTCTATCTCGGGATCCTGGCGGTGCGGCAAGTGCGGCTCGATGCCGGTGGCGGTGGCGCCGGTGGCGCCCGCACCACCCACGTGCCGGCTGTGGTGTCCGTGATGGTGATGATGGTGACTGGCGGCGTGATGCGTGTCGTGGTGATAGTGATGGTTGAGATGGGGCGGCTGTGCAGCCGCCGCGGCCGCGCCGCTCCGGTACGCCCGCTGCTTCTCATCGAAGTCACGAATCCTTTGATTGTAACGCTCGATCTGATCGCGTAGCAGTACGTCTTCCTCGGCGGCGCGCTCTTCGTCGTACTCGAGGCAACCAACTCCGTCCAGTCGCTCCAAATCGATCCACCCGCGCCACCTCACGCACACGCCGTTCATAATGAGGTGCGAACGTAGGTGCACCTGAAACATCCGCGGAACGGCGGAACGCAAGTCTTATCATCTGTGCTGGAATCCGTCAATATTCGTCAGTCTTGAGTGTCGGAACAATTGTAGGATATTCTTGGATGATCATAGGATGCTCGTGGACGGAGAGCGTGTGACGATGGAAAGCGTTTCGGGCTTGATAAGGTTTCGGCATTGGAGAGACTTCGGATAATGTCTTGAGGTGAAAGTTGCTTTGCGTTGGATATCTTTTGCTGGACTTGGTATGATGGAACGTAGAACCAAATGTGATGAGAGTAGAAGTGTGTGTATGATTCCAATATTTTCTGATATTATGAATAAATAATCTCCTTTTTCTATTGTACATAGAAAATCTCATATCCGATACAATGTAACCACGGAAATAATATTTTCTCCTTCAAAATACATTATATACATTATCGTTAATTAAGATTGAAGATTAGAGTTGCAAATAAATTTTTGTAAACTAAAAAAAATAGTCGCTATTGACTCTAATAAATTTTCTCATCTGAAAACAATTTACGTCCGATTTAAAAGAAGTCTTAGAAGGGAAATCAATAATTTTGTTCAAAAATAGACTTTCATGGAGAAGCGACAAACCTTTCACATCAACCTAACACGTTGTAGTAAAAATTGTTTTTTAATTTAACAATTCCTTATATTAAAATTTGAAATTATTCTCAAATCTGACCATCAATCTTATTACTGAGAATATATCGCGTGTATTATACTGACAGTTATATTCGATGGCATACGTTACGTCAGCAATTACAATAGTTGAAATGACATCAGTTAAAACTAACGTTTCTATCGTGACCGAACGGTATTACTGACTCAACTCTGCGTCGCTGCTTCTACGAAATTTACACACAGGAGAAAATGACGAGGCGCGTCGAGCTCTTCTCTGTTATCGGCTGCTCGGTTCGGTTACGGCAACTTCTCAATCTTCCTTTTTCGAAATCCGTCAGCGCGCGTTGTAGGAGGGCTCTATTACGATCCGCAAGTTTCAATCACGTGCCCCGTCCCCTCGTTCCCGCGACCCCTTCTTTCTCGTGTTCGACAACGGCGAGCACTTCTTATTTCCGGAGAACGATTACGCAGATTGGAAGGTACGGGGCTTCGCGGTCCATCTCGAGATGGTAGGAGAGATGAAATTGAGATAGGCGAGACTGCCTGCGTGTTCCTTGTAAGAAATCAATTACGAGCAGAAGTAACTCCCGACGATGCTTGCACAATCCTCCTTCTCACCGTAAAATTTCATCGTGCAACAGCTCGCTATTATCTCACGCATTTCAACGCGCTGCAATCTTTAGAGGAGATTAGAAAACGCTGACCAGTCGATATCGAGCGTAAAGTATCTCAAGATGTCTATAATATTGAAGTTACTGCATAAATTCCATGCAACATATCATTTTATTAACTTTCTTCTTTTATAATTTCACGTTTTTCTGTTTATATTTCATTGTCCGACATATGAAAAGTAGTACGATATCAATAAATTCTTGAGTTACGAAGTAATATAAAAGATAACCTAGTTCAAGCGACTTCTCAAATTGTTTACTAGCTATGAAAATGGGTTACAAAAATATAAGATTGCAGAGTAAAGGAAAATCATTTCCTGATTCTTTTCTAAAAATTTTGTTATGTGATTTAGAACCGTATTATTTTCTCCACTTAATTTACGACTGCTAATTAATCCGAGAAAATCGCTAGGCGGTGTTTCCCGAAAAAAACTCTAATGGGAAGGCTCTCGAAAAGTAACGATTAGCAGGGTCTGCGCCGACGATGCAACACGGTGTTATTTTATTTTCTGGCAAACTACCCGACTTCCGGTCCCGCCGCGGAGCCCAGATATTATTACGAGGTCAAGAACGCTCGGGGAAAAACCAGTCGAGACTGCGTTTGTGATCCTGACGTAACGAACGGCGACACACAATCGACGAAGTAACTTAGAGATCACTTTGTAGATTATTTTTAATATTACATTCAATTTCATATCTAGAAATTTATAATATATATTTGAACATTTATCACATCGTTGATAAACGACATTATACGAAATTTTTAATTAATTTTCTAGATATAAGTTTTGTGAAATAAAATTTCCAAATAAGAGGAAATTTTTTATTTCACAACAGAGTATAACCGTGTTTGTTTCTCCGAAATCACTAGTGCTGAATTGTGTTAAGAATGTTTGCAGAATTTTATTTAAAGCAATTAATTTAGCGTCAGATTTGCGCGAGCGAGCAAACGAACGGACGGAGGTAAGTCAACGTTACATCTCGTTACATTCTTTCGCGTCGCAGCTTACAGCTGCGTGGTCGACAATGCGCCACGGGGCGCATTTTTATGCAGTAATAATCGAGCGACGGGGTGCGACAACGCGGGGTGGCGGGACCTTAAACGTTTCGATAATCGAATCGCTCGCGGCCTCAAAAGACTCAATCTAAGGCTTTGGAAAAACTCGATCTTTCCGTATATTGTTGTATCATTATAATAAACAACGTAATTTTTTATACAATAAGTATAAAAAATATGTTTGCATTCGTCGTTAAATGAATTATCTTTTTTTATATCCAAGTTTAATTCTAAAGCGCGTTGTCGCGATAAGCGCGAGGCGATAAGAGCAGTTCCTTCCTGAAGCGGAAAGTTTTTTGCTTTCGTGCAATGTCATGCATATTAATGTGTCTCCAGGTAAAGCGAGGCGGAATTATTATACGTTAAACTTTACGCGGAATGAATATTAACAGAAGCATGAGTGCAGCGGGAAAATACGTCGAATCTTTCGACACAAGAATATTTATACGTGCACGTCCTTCTCGTTTTTCCTCGTGAAAATTCCTTGCGATTTCTATATATTTATCAATGTAGAATCATAATATATGTATCAATATACATGTTTCTTTTATATAACGCAATCTTCTTTATAACGAAAGAAAAAAAATTACATAAAATAGCTTCTCGCAAATGCTTTTCTGTCAAACAGTAATATTTCAATCAGCAAGAATCTTATTTTTCTAAAAATCGCGCATTTGACTCTAAATTGGAGTAACGCGTATTATCTTTTCATATTCGCGATATAATTATCTGACATCGCGAGACGAATCGTCGGAACATGTATATTCACCGCGAAAGCGAGACGCGCAAAAAAACGAGCTCGGCGCGAGAGAGAAAGAGAGAGTGAGATAAACAACATCCGACATCGTCATTAGTCATCGCGCCGTCGCCTTCCTCGTTCTCACGAACAGTGCAGGAAAGAACAGTAGTACGCGCATTTGTTTTTCTCCTTCGACTTCTGCGCACGGGCGTGACGACCATTAGCGCATAATAACCGGCGATATTTAAACTGTAACGCGCTCGCAACCCTTTCTAATTTGCATTAGCAAGCGGTGAAAAAAGCGTGAGGAAAAAACGAAAAGAAGCGAGCGCTGCGCCGGTGAGAGAAAGGGGTGAAAAATCGACGGCGCGAGAGCGAGCGAAGGACTCCTCTAAACGTCCCGAGACAAACGACCGGCTATTTCGCCGGCCCTTTTGTCTCTCGATGGGCGTCGCCGCCAGGCGCCTTTTTGCGCTGAGTCCACTATATCGTGAATGCCCTGTAACATTCGTCAACGATATCCCCGAACGGAACAGGACATACGGTCAGCACGGTCGCATCTTTTGTCTCTCGCCGGTCCTGCGCGTTTAATTTTTACGGCAAGCAGGATGCGCGACGATCCAGTTTCTAAACTATAAATTTTGTGATTCTTAAGGGAGTACTCGGGTGACGAAGGGCCGGCTGCGAGAAACACGCGATCGTTGTACTACGTCGAAGCGTGTTGTCACAACGATACAGACTCTCGAAATGTGACACAAATTCTAAACTCCCTTTTTTTCTAAGAGTTTAAATTTTCCGAGATTATTTTCTTATTATTTCGATCTCTTCTATCTTTTTCTATCTACTTTCCGTCTTCTCGAACTTCTACAATTCGCAAAACTAGACGTTTTATTTTTAAGAGCTAATATTTTATATTGCAAATATCTTTCTTTTTAATACTATTAATATTTTCTTTTTTTTAATTTAGCACTAAGACTTGTTTCGTGGATAGTTCCGCTTTATTGTCACGCAAATCGACTGCTCGATCGAAAGGATCAAAAACTTCATCATTATCGGGCACCGCACGCGCTCTGCACTCTTTATCGCGCGCTCTATCTCGATCGCGAATCTCTCCCTTAATTATTACGTAGCACGGCGGGGCACAATCGGCGCACAATGCTCACGGACACGTGTGGTCGCGCGCCGCTCTTTATTCCTTCGCTCATTGTCGATTAAAACAAAAAGGAGGCCGCGGGTCGTCCCGTAAACAACGCGTTACGCACCGTGCGCAGAATCTGATGAATCGTTTCCGATCTATTTCGTCTATTCGCAAAAGGAAATCAGCACGAGAGAGATTGTGAGTATCAAGAATAGAATGATCACGAATAATTTTCAAATAGTAAATAATATAATGCGTGCGGTAAAGTAATCCAGAAATGACATACGAAAATATCAATCTGTGCGTTTTATAAATGATAATTAAAGTAAAATATTTATAAAATATCATAATTTATTATATTTATGAATATCTATGAATATTTATGAATATCGTAATGATGCGATTTTAATCTGAACTAATATTTTCGTAAAATAAATACAAAACAAATGTAAGAAAATATTAGACTCGTTTTACATTAAATTTTAGGATTAAAATAATGTTATAAGCAATAAAAATTGAACGAAAAGCAAAGTTTTGTCTTTTTCATCTAGAAAAATTATAATATAATAAAAGATATTTTGCAGTAAGTTTAAACAATCTAGAAAAATAAATTGTAAAGAATCAACAGGATATTAGGATTTTGTTCGACCTTTCTGAGAGAAAGGAAGATTTACGAGAGCCATTACGTACTGAATGACCGGCCTCAAGGCATCTGGCGTATTTAACGGATTTCGAAAGCACAAATTGGTATCTATTAGCTTTCCCGACTCTTTCAGTGTTTACGATTCAACAAAAAGATTCAACAACACAAAAGAATATTTGATTTTACAAAATTATTCAAAGCGCAAGCGGAAGATACACTTTCTAATCCGTCGCAATATTTTTATAAATATATCGTGTAGCAATAATTTCATGGATAATATAAGTAAAGATAAGACAGAATAACGGAATACATATAACATGTGAGAAATCTTTTTCACCAAAGAATTCTTGAAATTTGAAATATCTTTTAGCATCTTTAGTATTAAATATTGAGAAATTCCAAACAAATAGTAGCAATTAGAATTTTGCTAAAAAAAATCCAAAATTCATCAAAGAAACCATCTCTAGAATAAATTCCATATTTTACGACAACTCGTACAAAATATAATTTAAAAAATAAGATAACATATTTACACTTTGTAAAAGTAGAATAATCTTATGGAAATTATAAAAGGAAATGGCGATTAAATAATTCTAAAGGACGAAAAACATTCGCAAAAGGATCAGCACGCGTATTTTGCAAAATGGCGTCGGGACGACGCCGCTATTGATCGCAATGGCGATGTCAAGAGGCGTCGGCCGCGGCGCCGGCGTACGAGATTGCCGTCGACAACCCCAAAGGGAAACGCCATCGCGCTTGCAGTTTTAAAGACAATCAAAATTACGTATCTTTAAATCCTTATTTTAAAACTTGAATGTGCTTCTTACATTCAATTTGTTAATAGCTCTAATTGTATCTAAATCTGCTTTCTATTTTCGACTTTAAACCCAGAGGGTAGTAAATTTATTTGATCAACGCAGCGATAAATTGGGCCAGTTTAGGTAAAAGGAGAATAAACTCCCGTGGAGGGGTCCGGAATTCCAAGAGCCAGATGCGGGGGTGACATGTCTAGGCCATTGTCGGCGAAAAGTGCCGGTCAGTCGGCTGATACCAAATTATGAAAGGTAAACGCTGTTAGGGCACGCCGGATCGGTGTCTAAGGACCCCTAATTTGCCAGCTCGTACGATCCAATTACGATTGCACGAACATTTTCCCCGAAAGTCAAAAAACTGCCACTCTGAGATTCGAGCTCTCAATAGTGGAAAATTTATATGTTTATAACTTTACACGATTTTATAATATTTATAAATTTATGTAATTAAGAATTTAGTTTCTAAGATTATTGAAATTCCAAATGCTATTCCGAGATTTTCTAATGTTTTTAAATTCTAGATAAATACTTTATAAAGAATCTCTTTTTCTGGTTTTTGCACGATATAGATCTTATTTGTTTCACTAATTTCATATAATTTCTTGCAAATTTTTATAGTATGTGATAAAGTTTAAACTTTGAAGAAGAAAAATGATAAGAATCATTTGTGATTCACTGTGATGGGACGATCGAGAGTTTATAATGATTGTGATAATCTTATCCGGACAAAAAAGCGGTGTCGACTTACCTTGCCATGTTCTTTGTCGAAATCACAATCGCAGGGATCAACGGCGTAATTCCCGGATGCGTTACCAAAAACCAACTGAAGGTTGGTGCCCGTCGCTGCAAACGCGATCTCCGTGTGGCCCTCCCGACAGCCATTTGTAAATCGTACTTGCCGCTCCTCCATCGGCCGATCTCTGTAGCCCGTGTATCTCACCTGTAAAAAAAATTAGTAATATATAGATATATATATCTATCTAAAGACAATACATATAAGTAACATTTATCTCAAAGTATATATTGGAATAATTTGAGTAAAATTTCTTATATTTAATTTATATCTAATTTAAAATTTCACGTTCAATTAATATTCTTCGGATAAATAATTTTATAAAAATGAAATAAATTATCATATCAAACGAATATAAAATGAAATATCGCATTGTAAATGTCATAATATTGAAACGCAGATCCAGTACGATTTCTTTGCAATAAAATTATTAGTTTTAGTAATTCCTTATAATAAATACTAAATAAAAAACATTTATCATAAATAATGTAGAAAAAATATTCTAAATGTTTTTATCCATCTCGCATTTTTTTTTTAATGATCTGATAATTTAACATACATTCTATTGTACTACACATCGAGATAACGCATCAGTTCTCGACAATCATTATTAAAGTTTTTTCCAGATTCCAAATTGCTAGATTCATAGAAATAACATTATTAAAAGACGTGACGAATGTAGAATATTAATTTGCTTGCTCGAAAGTACACACGCAATCTGAAGACTAAACAAATTCGAGGAAAGGACGACATTCCTACGGCATGATATCGCGTATTACAGTCAACCGAAACGGGAATCCTTTACCGTCGTTTCGAGATCTCACTATGCATTGCATTATAACGATCGAAAGATATTTTTCAAGCTCTTTTCTATACAGTAAATGATATCAATCGGCGAAAAATAATAAAAGAATCTAATATTGTTTTGATTCTGAATAAATTTTAGCAAGAAATTATGAGCAATAATTGATTTCCAAAATTAATACAATATAGTTTCACACAACATGAATACAAATGCGTTAAATATGCGAAATCTTGAAAGAGAATCCTCTTTTCTTGATTATTATTTCTTCTATTATTCTCTGAGATAATATATTGCGTATATGTGAAATCTTACACATGTAAAATCATCGAACATTCGTCCTAAATCACATATTTACTAACAAATTTATTTTCACGATGTAAACAATGTATGATACATTCAAATTGACGTTAAAAGAATAAAATTGAACGACTGTCGATAGAGTGATAATAATTCTAATTATCTGATTCACAGCTAAAATTTTTTAAACAATAGTTTTTTTAATTTAATCTTTTTTTTAAATGCGCTTTCATATAATTATACATTTATTGTATATTCCGTGTTATTTTACATCACTTTTATGTTATTACATTTTTCACACGGCTTTTTCGCAAAATCTTGTTTTCTTTAAAATTTAAAATATAAAATTCAAATTACACATATTCAAAGCTTAAAACGCGAATCTAAAATCATACGATCCTTTGCAAAATCCTTTCAGGAATAAATATATTTCAAACACTTCAATTTCATAAATTGTTCTCTAATTTTAACGGTGTCTAGTAGAAAGATCTTGAAATTGATTTTAATTTTAATTGGTCAATCAAAAGTAAACTATTAATTACAGTAGCACTCCAGTTCACTTCCTAAAAAACTTGCAACAACTTTTCACCGGAAATATATTCAAATGCGCTATTTTGAATGCCTTGTCCTCATTCTAACTTCTACAGTTTTCAAAACGTCTTTGCAATAAATTGTTAAAGACAAAAGAAAATATTTTGTTTTAATGCAAAATAAAGAATACAAAATATCTAAGGAAAAATGCGAATAGCATAAATAGTTTAAAACATTCGATATTTCAGTTTTTTGAAGAATCTATAATAACAATAATTTGGAATTCGATATTTCACACATTCCTTATTAGTTTAATCTTACAATCACAAAACTATCGTAAACATCGTTTAGTTAGGTTCTTAAAGTATCAAAACCGTAAGCTAACGACAGCAATTAATTTAATACAAATCACGAAATACACTTTTCACGGTAAGAAAGATTTTGATCGGCGCTCGTTCCTTTTTCAACGCGTGTCCTCGCCGGCGGACTCACCTCGCTTTCGCGGCTCAATCTCCTAAAGAGCTCGTCGCTCTCAAACTTGGACTTTTGATCGGGCACGACGCGCGGCATCTTGAAGACGAGCCGAGTCGGCCGTGGTTGTTCGTACAGGCCCATCCCGTCGAACGGCAGCACGCCGACGCCGGGATGTTCGCTCATCGCGTGCATCATCTTCGTCGCCGCGGATCAATCGGGCTTTTTGTATAATACCACTTATCTCGCGAACGTCACCAGGTCACCAGATCAATTGTCGTGTCACTACACGCGCTCAATGTCCCGCGTATTCGCGGAAGAGGAACTACTCCGAAAATGATAACACGGATGATCCCTATCACGACCGATTAGAATTATCCGCAAGGAGATATTCGAACCAACGATCCACGCAGTGTGATGCTCCAGTGGAGACTGAAGCGCCGGTAAAACGAGTGTCGTGCCGGGCCGCACTCGCACCGTTGCGCCGAAGGATCTGACACGCCCCAGGACCGCCCCCCGATTCTCCCGCTTCCCCGCTGTTGAATCACGGGCTTCTTCAGCGACCGACCAGCCAGCCCGACTCTCGATTTGACCCTACGGTTTTGGTACCGTAAACCCCGGAGCGGCGGATTCGCACTCTGAGCATGTCGCAGCCGAGGGTGAAAGCTCGCCCGACAATCTGGTTTCATGATTTTATAAATGAAGACGAGAGAGAGAGAGATAGAGAGAGAGAGCGTTTATATGTATATACTTCCAATGCGCTTCAAAGCGTCTTATTTTCTTTTCAACGCGAGGTAAAATCGAATAATACGAAACGCTTAACGGAAAACGCCAGTAGCGTTTACGAAGAATTTAAAATTCGATTAGGATTCGACGAGTCCTACGATTTTTAGAGCGTATTACGGAATTGTTGAAGCAAAGAAAAAGTATTTTCTTCCAAGAATCAGATAAAAAATATGAAATTTTTTATGAAAAATGCGAATAGTTTAAGATATTCAAGGATATTTCACGGTTTTTTAGTAATACAATGGCAATTTAACGTTTAGAACTTGCTCACTACGTGATACACTACGTATTAACCATATGTTTAATTATTATAGTCACAAAAGTATAGTAAATATAAATTTTAAATCCTTACAGTATATTATTATCAAAATGATGAAACAACTAAGGCAGTAATTAATTTAATACGAATCCCTGAACATTATTTTCATGGAAGAAAAGAATTGATCTGGAAAGTTCTTGCATTTTTCATCATAAAATTTATATTTAAAATCTGGAATTTTAAGTTATCTCAAATAAATCAACTTAATGAACGAAATTCATACAAATTACATGAGAAAATTACATAAATTAAATTAAATATACGATTTCTTGCTGATTGTTTTGCAAAAAAATAATTTTTTTTTGCTAAAAATCATCGCTATTTCGTTATTTAAAAAAAAATTGAGTCTAAGGTAGTATAAGAAAATCTAAACGTAATATTTTTTTACTGTTACCAAAAAAGTGGCTTTTACCATAAAAGGATGCTTTTTTTGCACCGACGATGGTGCCAAGGATGCATCGCCGGTGCGTAAAGCAATAAACTGCAGCGAAATCGGCAAATATTGTCTAGCTACAATGTCCCTCATAAATACGGGAAGTACGTGTTAGACGGGAGGGGGAGGCAGGGGATGCCCATTTCGGTTGCCGGGTGCTTAGGTAGTATAACAACGCGTGTATCCCCTCGAGGGAAGAGATCTTCATCGTCTCTCTCTCGAGTGGCGGGGCTCATCCGTTCAAGAGGATCATTGTCGAAGGATCCGCGTGCGATTAAGATCAACGACCCTCCGGCGAACATCGCGATCGCATGGCGTTACCAGTCATGGATACCCATTTATCCTTTTTTCTTCCCTTTTTATCCCGCTGCTCTCATCGCGGCGCCGACAATATTACGACTCTGGTTCTCTAGTTTTGCCTTTATTCCGGCTGTTACGTTCATTTCCCATTGCACATTTGCCACTTGCGAGCACAGATGGACGTTTATGGACAATTTCAATCAATTACATTTGCTTTTTAGTATTGCAAAGATGGAATATTGATCAAACAAATAACAGAGTTAAACTATACGCAGTTTTACTGCGTGAACTTTTATGTGTTTTACTATTCTTTGTATAGAATATCTTTTACAGAATTCTCCATTTTATAGAATTCAAGCAGTAAAGAAATAAACATTAGACAAAAAGGCCACAAAACTGGTCGTAAAATTATTTTAAAAATTTGAAAATAACTATAACAAAATAAATGCTATTTGTTCGAAAGTTCTCGCAAACGATTTATTTTCTTGCGTTTACGAAATGTACCGTATTTCCGTCTCAAAACAATTTGTTTTACTGCTTTATCTAACATAACAAAGTGTAAGGTTTTTTTCCTTTGTGTTGTAAATAAGAAATTTAAAGCATTTAATGTATTATACCTTAGGACTTAATATATTATACCCTAATTTCACCACGCAGGTAAAAATTCTGTCGTCCAATTCTTCTTGACGTTAGATTTTACACGGCATTTTGTTTGTGCAAAACTTTGTTTTAAGCTCTCTTATTGTTTGGTTCCCTACATTATACCGTGGTCGCACTGTCTACGTATATATAGCTTCGTGAAGAGGAAAAGAAATATATTGTCTTTCCAGAAATTATTTCTTCTTTTCTTACTTCGACAGTTTGACAGGTATCATTATAAATTTGTAATCCCTAAATTTAAACTAACGTCCACTGTGTGTGTGAAAGTTATTTTTAACTTTTTGAAATACATTTATATTTTAAAAAACATCTGAGGTTTACAATAGTTCAAATCATTATCTTTTTCAATGTGACACCATTTTTACGTTATTTTTTCCTTTTTAATTCTTCACATGAATACCAAACGTGACGAAAGAAATTTCACGCGCACGACAGGATCGAAAGCAGAGATGTTGCCCGCCTCTCGTCGTACACTATTGGTCCAGCAATCTCGCCAATCGCAGCCTCCAGTATCCTATTGCGAAGGGAGGAAGTGATGCACACGTGCGTGATGACACGCCGTTGACTGTGTGCACAGAATGCTGCTCGAGCAAGAAGGGCGAAGAAACATGGCTCGATATGCGTTCGTTTTCCTATATGTCATCTCGAAAGCTCTTCATCCATTTTCTATGTGGATGTGTGTGCTCACGTGTAAGAGTAATGCTAAAATCTTCTCTTCTAATTCTATTTTGCAATTTCACTCACTGCTTTTAGGAATCTACATAAATACACTATTTATTTCGTTACTTATTTTTTCATAAACCTACACAAAAATTTATATGATTGAAATTGAGATTTTGTTGAGAAAAATTGAGAATTTATATGATTGAAATTGAGATGGCTGTTGCATTATGTTGTAATTCCAATTAAGAAATTTTACTTAAGTATGTACTAGGATAAGTTCAGAAATTATCCGTAATATCTGAATTATGTTTTACTTGAAAAAATTGTGGATAATTTCTGACTTATATTTAATTTTTATAACTACAGCCAAAATACTAACAATAAAATAGGAAACATATATAAGATTTAATCAATTACATAAAATGCAAATTGCACAGTTAATCAAATCTGCATCTTTTCTTTCTGTATCTAAAATGCAACTGTTATCTTGTTGTAAATTTTGACATATCTTTGTTAATTTATATGTCCTTATAACATAAAATTATTATGTTATTAATTTTATAAACTTTATAACTACTTTATATGTTTAGATTACTTATTAATTATATTTAACTATCTATTTACAAATATCGATTATTGTTATATAAAACGTAACTGTATAAATCCGTAATTATGTAGATCCCTAAAAATTATTTTCGATTCTCTAAATACCAATCGTCGACTTTCAACAAAGTTCGCGCGCTTCTTGTACGTCGAGGAGCGGATGAAGATCGATATTGCGGACGCGTCGCGAACGTTTCTGTTGCCAGAGAAACTTGGAAACTCGCGCTATATACTGTAAATACCCTCACAATCGGGTATGCAGAATGTCGAGCCAAGGAAAGATACGAGGCGAAAACGAACCTTCCTGCGAACGACGCAAAGCGTACGAGCGTCATCGTTCTAGAGTGAGTACTCATAAATTATAAACTTAGCTCTCGATGTAATTCTGTTTAAAATTTTATCGGGAAATGTTTCTTTCATCGCATTCTCGGAAGCTCCGAGAATCTGATGGAAGCTTAGCTATAAATATTCTCACACAAACGATTTTTAAAGCAAAAGAGATCTAAAGAGCAGAATAAATAATTTTAAACGATTATACCGGAAATAATTATATTAAGAAGTTAGGAATCATATTTCAAAGAAACAGTTTTAAGTATGCGCCCTCAAGATTTACCTTGAAACTAAACATCTATTATTTCTAAATTAATCACGCTTATCGCATTCTATGAGTGCATTGTTACAGTCATTATCGTTTTTTGCATTTAGGTAAAGACTGCTAGACCAACGGTCGACGTGAATCCTCCGGAAAATAGACCTCATGTCTTGTTCAATGCAAAAAGATTGCAGCTGGAACGCGAACGACAGGCACGGATTCTCAGAGAGAACTTTATTCTGCTGAAGAAACTCCGCGAGATCATGCACGGAAAGCGACGGATTCGTTTCACGGAGCAGCACACGCAGCGGGTCCAATGGCAAGAATGTAGATGCGTAAGGACTCGTTAAGAAGACGAGACATCAACAAGATATTTCTACTTTTGATTATAAAAAATCATACATGTGCTTGTATTTCTTGTATTTTGTTTGCGATAAAGAAGTAACATAATATGTAATTTTTCCAATTTTAATGCATCTTTAATGTTTAATAGTCTCTTTTCTACTCTAAACGATTTGTACGTTTCTATATTGTATTTTTAATACATTTCTTCATCAATATTACCAAATCTGCATTTTTATCTTTTCCTATTAAGTTACAAAACATAATCAATAATTTGTAAAATCAGCTAAATCAGTTACGAAAGTGTAATGTTTATACAATCAATAGCTCAAGATTTCTGTATTCATTCTTCTAAAGATAAATTTAGCAATATTTCATTTCATCATTTAAGTAAAATATTTAAATCTGTATCTTGATTAATTTCTTTCTTTCAATACAATTTGAATTATATCAAGCACATTTTCCACAAATATTGCCTAAGTAACTAAAAACAAATTATTTCTAAAATTTAGCTCTTTTAAAATCGTACACAAATCGCATGAATAATGCCACTTGGAAATCTAATATTTGTTTATTTGAAATAAATCCACAGAAGTGTGTTAATTTATAATTATAAAAGAACACTGGAGAAAAGTAGTACTTAATAAAAAAAGAAAAAGAAACATCAGATATTTCAGAGACACTCTGTATAAAGCATCGTATGGTCAACTAGAACCATCTTGCGTTCATTATTAAAATATAATCCACTTATCGACTGTTGAACAGTGAGCGTGTTGCTATTTCTGCCATCTTATAGACAGTTCTTTTTACCGGCTGCTAAACATGGCCGCCTAACTCGGAAGCTGTCCCTCGCAAAGATTGCTTCATGAATAATCCATTTGTCCGAACAGAAAATGATACCCGGAAGAATAAACCATCTCACAATAAACTATTTTAAATAATCGCTAGTTCTCTTGTATGCTATGACAGTATTCCAAATAATGAATCTCTTTATACCATTCGTTTCGTTTTAACGATGATTATTCAATTCGAAGAAATCTCATCCGAAGCGAATATAAACCTATTTGCTTGAACGCAACATCATATGCAGCGATATAAAAGAATAAGCCTTTTCACGATAGAATACCTTGAATAATAGCTATTTCTCTTATTTTAGACGCAACAACAGATTCAAAATAGCAAACTATCTTTTTACCATTCGTTTCGTTTCAAACATGGCCGTTTAACTAGAAATGCTTGTTAATTGCGAGGATCGCGATATAATCGGATGACTATGAGATGGAGAACGGCGAATTATACTTATCGTCAATATCGATATCGATATTATTTAGTATAACTATGAAAAAATGCATAAACGTACCTATAAACAGCATTTTTCCCTGCTTCTCCGCATCACCGGCACTTTCACACTTTCGTAGGTAACGCGCGCGATAAGACTGAACAAAGGCGAAGACGTGGTACTGTAGACGCTGCGAGAATCGAATCTCGAATCGATCATCCGCGACTGCGCACTCGCTGTTAACGCCGCTCCGTCTCGATGGGGTCCCGATATATAACCGGCATATCCGTATAAAGGTTATACGCGAAACATTTACTCTTTCACTTGTTTCACGCACATCGACCCGGAACGCAACATATAGACATCATGTCCCAGAAACCGCCGTTCAAAATCGGTAAGTGGCTAGCCGTTGAACGAATAAATTACAGTGCATTTTCGGAATATCGATGACAACAAACATGTGCTTGCTGTTATTTCGGAGCAACGCGAAGTAGTTTCAGAGCAATGCAAAGTACTCGCCACATCAGCGCGCGAATTTTCGTATATAAAAAAGTAGTACTATCTGATCGTTTCTGATAATAATATGATAATTTTCTAATGTGATCATATTTTTTTATATGTTTGATATGAATTATATGTTTCTTTTGCTTGTTTCTGTCCTTTTTTTCTATAATAATTTTTCCTATGCATGTAACCGAATCTTTTTACATATATTTCTTTGTGTATATAATTATAGAGAGTCTTTTGTAATTTTGTAGACAAATTTTGCTACTTATTTAAAATAAATTTTTGTACTGTCAATAGCTAACCTGGACTTAGCCGAATGGGGTCGCAAAGAGATCACTTTGGCGGAGAATGAAATGCCAGGCCTCATGGCAATCAGAAGAAAATATGGACCATCGAAAGTGCTGAAGGGTGCACGGATTGCTGGCTGCCTCCACATGACTGTGCAAACTGCAGTTCTGATTGAAACACTGGTGGAACTTGGTGCTCAAGTAAGAAAGCTTGAAGAACCTAAAACAACTTAGCAACTTTAATTTACATGCATATAATTCTATAATAATAATTAATTATTAAATAACATTTTAATGTAACAATTCTTATATTAATATTTTAAAAATATGTAGAGATGAAGTCAGTTTGCGCATAAATGTTATCACTGATGACTTGTGCATAATCCATATTTCATTCATTTCATTGTACATTGACAATCGTCTTTCTTTGATGCTTTGTAAGATTCTAATAATAGCAATATAGATAACATACATCTATTGTGACAGCCAATACAATATAAAATTAACATTACAATAAGAAGTACTTCTTTACATTTTGAAGAGATTTAGAAATTTAATAATTTAGGAAATTTACACAAAACTTTACAATAAGATTTATATATAAATCCATTCATATTATAAATACTTTTTGTGATACAAATTAATATCCAGTTCGAATCATGAAAAATATTTGGTTTTAAAAAAATAAGATAACTTCTATTATAAAAAAAAACAATAATTTTTTCCTCTTTAAAATGTTCGAAAAGTAATATTGGATACACATGTCATTAAAAGTGAAAACATTCTTGTAAACATGTTTTTAATTATGCCTTTACGTAATACATTTATAGATAATGCTATTCATTGGTTTTAATCTTGCGCAAGCACATTGCTTCACTTGCGTAAACATCGAAAAATCCATCAGTATATGTAAATCTATAGTCCAGAAACCTATAAAACTTCTGAAATAAAATTCTAACAAAATCACCTCTGCATTACAGGTGCAATGGTCATCCTGCAACATATTTAGCACACAAGATCATGCGGCAGCGGCCATAGTGAAAGCCGGAATACCGGTGTATGCGTGGAAAGGCGAGACCGATGAGGAATACGAGTGGTGCATCGAGCAGACCATTGTTTTTCAGGATGACAAACCGTTCAACATGATTCTCGACGACGGCGGCGATCTGACCAGAATCATACACACGAAGTATCCGCAACATCTCACGGAATGTCGCGGCATATCCGAGGAGACTACCACCGGAGTACACAGCCTTTACCGCATGTTGAAGGAGGGCACACTCAAGGTGCCGGCAATCAACGTCAACGACTCCGTCACAAAAGTTTGTACATTACAAAGCAACATTATGAATTTTAACATTGTGACAAATTATATATCCAGATATGTATACGCGCATTTGCTAATTATGAAAAATGAGGTCAGATTGAATTACACAAATTTAGATTATTCGCAATAATGCTTAAAAATTTGTTAATTTTTATACTGTTTATTGCAAAATGTGATGCAATTGCTCGTCTAATCACAGGAAGCGTGGTCAAATTGTGATAGTATTTCGTTTATCACGTTTCATACGTTACAATTTAGGATAGATAAGAAAGTTTGCAAGATTACAGATAAGCTCCATTAGAGCGGAAATATCCAGACGTTTTTAATACGTTTAATAGTTAGAAAGTTTAATAGTTATCGTTGTGTGAGAACGGCTTGATTCAAATAGTCATCATTCGCGTTAATTGAGATAATGAGTGTGATTGCGCAAAATAACGGGAGAGTGACAAACAGAATCACATATGAAATTCACTCTTCTGACGCAATATTGATAATATTCTCGGAAATTGAAAAATAGTACTTTTTAAATTACAATAGAAATCTATTGATTAATGCGCAAGAAAGAATTAATTCTTAAAAGAATTAAAAAGGAAGAATAATTAAATTTGTTGCTAACTTGTATGTTCTCCGTAGAGCAAATTCGACAATTTGTATGGATGCCGAGAATCGTTGATCGACGGCATCAAGAGGGCCACGGATATCATGATTGCAGGAAAGGTGTGTGTAGTGGCTGGATATGGAGATGTCGGCAAAGGATGCGCGCAAAGTCTCAGAGCCTTCGGAGGTCGCGTTATCATCACAGAAATTGACCCTATTAATGCGCTTCAAGCTGTTATGGAAGGATATGAGGTATAATACATCGAAAAAGAAATGTTATGAAAATATATAAAATCGCACAAAATTATTTCTGAATTTTTGATCGTTAAAATTAATTAAAAAATAATTAATTGGTTAAAATTAATTTTTAATTGCTATCAATCAACATCAATTAAAATCATCGCGATTTTAATTGAATTTTATCCTTAAATGGTAAAAAACTATTGTCTAATAAAATACTTTTGAAACTTGTATGATTTTCGTAATTATCAATTAGACATTATTATCACAAATTACCGCAGTGTTCCGTAAGCTGATAGCCGTAATCTTCAGGTAACAACAATGGAAGAAGCGTCTACGAAGGGTCGTATATATGTGACGACTACGGGATGTAAGAATATTGTTTTGGGTCAGCATTTTTTGAACATGCCGGATGACGCCATCGTCTGTAACATAGGACACTTTGATTGCGAGATCGATGTTGTGTGGCTGGAAAAGAACGCCGTGGAGAAGACGAATATAAAACCACAAGTGGATAGATACCGATTGAAGAACGGCAGGTGTGTATTAAGTCGCGAAATTCGCAAACGAGTTGCATATCTTGCAACAGCAAACTAATCATATCATTTGTGTTTCAGGCATATTATCCTCCTCGCGCAGGGTCGTTTGGTTAATCTGGGCTGTGCGACGGGCCACTCGAGTTTCGTTATGAGCAACTCGTTTACGAATCAAGTGCTCGCGCAGATCGAACTTTGGACAAAACCGTACGAGATCGGCGTGTACATGCTGCCGAAGAAGCTGGACGAAGAAGTCGCAGCTTTGCATCTGGAACATTTAGGCGTGAAATTGACGAAACTAACACCAGAACAAGCCAAGTATTTGGATGTGCCTGTAGAAGGACCTTACAAACCCGATCATTATCGATATTAGGCGTCGATATTTGTGAAAATTTATACTGATTATTGTATAATAAATTGCGTTGTTGCAATTTGTGTTTAAAACTAAACATTAAATATAATAACTGGTTTTTTTGCCAGTCTCTGATTGAACGCATTGAAGTTTTTGGCGATTTGTAGGCATTCACCTCAGATCAAGTTTTAACCTTAATTTCATCATTACATTTTTCAAGCAATTATAATCAGAGAGATATCAATGATATGTAGAACAAAGAAATTTGTATTTTTTTCATAACAATAACTATCACAGAGAAGTCATAATTATATGTACAATTTCATCTATATTACCTATATTTTAAACAGCACTGAGTTCTCATGCAGGCATTGACAGCCGCAACCCGTCGGACATACTGTCTCTTTCGCAAACCACGCCGCTAAGTGCTGAATGTGTCCACCGTGGCCGCAAAACATGCAAGAATTACTTGCGCCTGGATTTTTCAACAAAATCAAGATCTTTAAATCTTCGTTTCAAATTACAATTAAAATATTCTACTAAATTCAGGATAAAAGGCTAACAAACCTTTGACTGTTACATGACATACGACACACTGGAAGCTCAAACCTTTGCAATTTGTACATTGCGGACCTCGGCTGATCTTACCGCAGACCCGACATTCGCACTGCAGCTCGACACCCTTTTGTACGTCGAACGGTGATGTGCTCAAATGTTTTAGGACTTGTGCGCGACCGTCCAGCAACTCCCACCTATGCAACGCCTCGGCATATGCTTTCTTGTAACCGTCGTACAAGGCTGTGTATTTCTCGTCGAGCAACCTGCGTACATTGCATTCCATTCTAGAATACATTTGCACAATTAAATTGCAAAAAGTTCAAAAATGTCTGAAAAAACATCTTTACGACGTTTTTGTTTTAAATACTTTAAGAGTTTTTTTTATGTGTTAGCTTTTTAGAACGTACTTGATGTTTCTCGCCGAATCACCCAACGTGTCTTGAATGACTTTTAAATCGTCGAGCGATTCCGACCACGAGTTGGACCGGTGTTGTTTCAGATTCTGAAAATTCCATCCCTCCAGCGTGGTGTCCGCCAAGTGTATCGTGTGATAAGGCGAACCGCCAGGCTGCAAGAAAATATTAGATAAAACAGATTCGTACAATACGTAATTAATAATCTGCAAGAAAACGAAGAAAATTATTAGACGACACAAATTCACACAATCTGTAATTGCAATTGATAATTTATATTCATATTCATATCAAACTTCGCAATCAATTGTTATTAATGAATGAAATTATAGTTATAATCGCTCTCACAGAGAGATAACGTTATATGAGATGTGGCCGACAGCACATATCGTTTCGCCACCAATTGCGATTTGCTGTGAGCAATGTTATTTTTTTTTTTAATCAATCACACTCGATATATAAATATATAATAGTTTATGTCCACATTTTAGTTAGACACAGCAAGCAAATCCGCATGCTTGGTGGCACAGCTTTCAGTCCGATGCTGAGAGGTGAATGCAAAGTATCAATCATATAACAGAAAAGCCCTAAAAACCAGATCCAACTTTGCTTTAACAAAATTCAGAGACCAGAATTCTTACCTTCAACCACCATTTTCCTGTGGAAAGCCTCTATAACAAACGTAATAATTATATAGTTAGCTGTTATGTACGATCAGTAATTTGAAAGATACGCCGGTACAGTGTGCATATTATATTTATTATATTACGTGTATTCAATTCTTTTTAATCATTGCGCGTGGTTTCTAAGATTCCTGCAAACACTGATTAATTTAAATAGCGGTCTCAATTATTGAATACGAACAAATTTGCATACCATACCGTCGTGTGTTTGCGGCGAACATTACACAAATAAAAACACAACATAAAACACTACGTGTTCCTTCATGCATCGGAAGAAAGAGACATGTGCTGTGCAGAAAAGCCTCCACCTTTTTCCGATACTAATTTATATATACAGAACAGAAGACAAAATGAATAGAAGACATATGACTGGTAAATGTGGGATATACACAATTTCTTCCTTCAACTTTGCAGGTCGGACGATATGCCAGTGCTATATTATACAAGGAAAAATTCTCAAATGACACACGATTTGCACTCTTGCTCTCTTGTACAAATTATATACTTACACTGACGTTCACGGATTTGCTAGTCAATCTCATTTGTGCGGCGTCTGTGTTCTCCGATCGGTAGCTAAGTGCACAGCTCAGCATGCCGGCCATCTGAACATCAGATTGATTCGCATAATGCTGAATTCTGTAAATAAATAGTTACAGAGTAATTAATATACTATTACTATTATTATTTGATCGAGACAATTGATACAATCGAAAAAGCACACATCAAATCCAATAGAATATCCTTTTTCCGCATAAAATAGTTTAATTATTGCATAAAGTTATTTAAAAATTATAACACAATAACAAATAATCGATTTCTTACAAGGAATGAATCAAGTTTTGGCCCCAGGGATGTAAAGGCCACGGAGCATCGACGTCAGGAGATTGACACGACTGGATTAAGTTCTGCTCGGTGTTGGAAAGTGGCTGCGAAATGATTAAACCAGCTAAACACCAAGTCTGAACCAAGTCAGACCGTTCCAGTACAGAAGCCACGTTTGCATTGTATTGACACATAGTCGAAATGTCGGCGGTATTGATCCTGGAATTAGAAAAAAAATATTTTCGTAGATTATTTAAATGTCATTAAACCGATATATACAGCCGTCAAACTCACGTATATTTTTCAGCAAGCTCTTTATTAACGAAGAATAACGACGAAATGTCATAGATCATAACCATCGGGTGATAGTTCTTGAAATAGGATCGATCGTGTATTCTATTCGCGCCGTGCAATCCACGTCGAAGGTCTTTCTGCTGATGTTAAAATCACAGTTATACATACACAATAAATATATATATGCAAGGGAAAGTCAGAAAGTAAAAGGACTTTTTTAAAAGATTTGATTCCTTAAATGTCCCTTCATTTTTCGACTTATCCTCGTATTATAAAACGTAATTTGCTTGAAATAAGAATGGTATAAATCGTTCTTCTGTAGATAAAACCCAAGACTTTTTTAATAACATGTTAATGTTTCTAATAAACATTTAATTTAATTTTTTTTATATCATTAATACAATTAAATTGAAAAAATTGTAATTTGAAAATTTAATTTAATATAAAAAATTTTAATAAAAATTAATAAAAAATTAATTTAACAAGATCCACAACATCGAACACAGTTCGAAGTCTTCACAATTATCTAAATTCAATTCTATTAAGCCTTCATCCTGCGCAATTAACGCTGATTTAGTTGTTTATACCACACATTCTTATTTTTATAAACTCAAATATGCCTTACACGATCTTGAAAGTAGTATGAGCTAATGGATATATTGTCGTTTGTGGGCACATAGGAACTTCGATACATATGCATGAAAGACTCGCCGCTACCGATACTGTTGTCTAAGGCAGACAATGCTCTGGGCGTCACGTCTCCTGGTTTCATTGATGTTCTTCTTGTATACGAGGAACGACCGAAACAAACAAGTATACCTGACCAAGGATAGATTAAAAATAAGAAGATCAGAGGATTAAAAGATTAAAATATCTTAAATGCTTTCACGACCGATAATATTACCACGCCTTTTAAAAGTTAAATCTGATAGTCCATAACATTACTTCTTCTCAAAGGACTAACTTGACAGTCGATGCTGTACTAATATATATTTTACTTATGATAGAACATAAATGGTATTTATTAAACTAATATATTTTTTTATAAAAAGCAATGGCATCGATGCGTTCGGCATTAATATACAATCGGCCGCGGAAGTGTTAATCTCTAAAGTATATCGTATACACACCAACACAACAAAACTTAGCGCCAGATGTTCTGGGAAAAGGTATATAGGAGTCCCGATAATTCGAGCAGATACTAGGCGAGTTCAGAAAGTTGCCGTTATCTTGCATGTGATACGGTAAGTGATCACTTTCGTCCTCGTCTTTTTTACACGTCTATAAAGTAACAAAACAAAAATCAAGACTTGAACTAAATTGTTAATTTCACATGACAATACGCTTACCTGTTCCAAAGTTGAAATCATTTGCCGGAGGCACGGCTCCAAGCAGGATCTGTTTTTCCTGACGCGATGCTGAGCGGTTTGCGTAAGAACCTTTTGCAGTTTGGTCATCGTCGCGTTGTCGATGGACGTGCCGGTGCCAAATTGAAAAGTCGGCTGTGCGCTGTACGGATAATTTACTGGGAAATTTACTTTTAATATCACATTGTAATTCTTTGTACATGCGGTTATCGTACAGCTCCTCTCTGTCGCGTCCATCGCGTTCACCTGCATCAAAACAGAAATGCTAGTTGATTCATCGAATTGTGTGTGTGGTAAAATATTGGTATCTTCAGTAATAAATTCAACATTATATATTAACCTCTATATTTGGTATATTCATATTGATCATAGAGAATTCCTGCTGCAAACTCTTTGGCTGAGTGGGAGACGAGATTTTCTTGGAATTATCTGGAGCGCTGATAGTTTCAGATTGCGGCGCAAGCTCGTCCACTTTGGTCGTGATATAATTTATTTCAGGCTCGCTCTGGGAACTATTGAGTTGTAGTTCTTGAACAGATTGTACTCCTACATAAACATATCTTACTTATTACAACACTATTTAAGAATTTAATCATTAACGTATTAACGTATCTTAACAGTTCTACATACTTAAATTGTTTTCTTCTGAATATTGGCTGTAAACTGACAGACCATCATCTATACCGTTGCTACACAACTGAAAATAGTGAGAAACATTTCTATAATTTACAATTTTTATAATTCATAAAAACTACAGATGTGTTCTTACTTTCTTTATGAAGGGATTGATTTTAAATATCCTCAGACACTGATCCTTGCACCATGTGATGAGTTCAAACTCGTTGTTTTCTACAAGACATATACATAAAATATATTTGATGCTTTCAGTTCAATCGCAGAAAGCGATTGAAATGTATTTTTAACACATTTCGACATTGATACCTAGTTTTAGATGCCTCCATTGAAATTCGAGCACGACATCTGTGTGGCCCACAAATGTGTATATTGGCGAACTAAGGTTTGACGTGTTCCATAATAAAAGACTATTTTCTCCTCGTCGTAATTGTGGTACCACTATCGTAACTAAACCCTCGCCAAAGGGCTGTGAAAAATTTGTATTATGCGTAATACATTGCACAAAGTATAGTTATAAAGATTTTTCTATTTTCTTACCGTGTATCTCGCTCTCCACACAGGATAATTCGTTGTCAAGATATTCTCGGCTCTGCGTGGATTGATAATATCAAAGATTTTGACGGTGCAGTCTTGACTAGATGATGCCAATTGATTTTGTTGAAAGGGACACCAGTCTAAACCGTGTATCTGAAATCATTTTCATTTTAATACTTTTACCAAAAATCAGGCAAATGAATGTAACAAAGCTATATATACTTTTGTTAGATGGGCTGTTATGTATTGCACAGGACTGTTTGCCTTTCGCTGATCCCATATTTTAATGTCTCCATCGTGTGCCGTGGCTAAAGTATGGGGTGATAATGGATTCCAGCGCACTTGGGATGACCCCGCTGCAATAAACAGATAAATTATTTATTTTACTTTTTACTAAAGCAATGAATTATGCATGTTTTGATCTTACCAACTGCGGACAAAGATAGGTATGGCTTTCTCTGATCTCGTATGTCCCAGATATGTATAAATGTGTCGATACTGCAAGATGCAATAATGTCCGGTTCTTTAGGATGCCAGTTTAAATCACTAACGACTCGTGTGTGAGCTTTTAAACTCTGTGTAGTTTGTAACTCGTTGCCCCCTGATCCATTAAAACTTAATATCTCAATTCGAGTATTACTCTATAATAAAAAGAAACATTCTAAAATACGACAAAATAAGACACATTATTTTATATATACCTATCATTCTATTATTCCATTTATCTTTTCTTTAGTAATATAGCTTTGTTCAATATGCTTTTATATAAAAAAGATATATAATTTCTTACAGAAATTGCACATAAATGAGAATTTAGATCACACGGGTTCCATTCGGCAGAGCCAACTTCATATTTGCTCTGTCGCTGAAACTTCTTCACTGTATTCACGTCTTCATCCAGATGTTTGATGGCCAAGTATCTACGTCTACAATAGATAACATATATGAATTTTATCATGAAAAATAGATCATTTTCATTATATTATACAGAAATATTAATCGTAAATATCTACAATGTAACTTTTTCTCTCTAGTTTGACAGATCAGTTTTCATATGCAATAATTAGATGCATGAAATGTTTCAAATATTTAGTGAGTTAATCTTGCAAATATTAATCACTTACCCGGCTAACAAAACATAGTTGCCGGTCGCGTCCACAGCCATGGTGTTAGCCTATGTGCAACAAAACAGGATAAATATAAACATTGGCATTTTCTTTTTTCACACATAAGAACAACGATCTATTGTCATTTTTAGTGAATTGTTATTTTTTTTACCGACCTGCAAGTCACGGTGCTCCGTAACGACATAATCGCTATTTCGTTTAGACATTTTAACAATAAATCTCTGACGTTCCTGCCACCATTTCGCGTTAAGGTTAAAATCGTATCAAAACACAGCTTGACGCGCGCGCAACGCACACACACTATACAAACGTCACATACCATATGAATTGAAGTTCATCGTAAGAGATTTCAAAACAACAACAATCGTTAATATTTGAAAGATATTCCTTATCGTTATTTAAACTGCTTGTGAAATATTTAATTATTTCTTTATCTCCACAAGTGAAATTGCTACATATATTTTTTAACATTTGTTATATTTGTGGATAATGTAAATTATAGCTGTGTATTAATTTTTGCTAAATGAACAAAGTATTCTAAAAATAAAAAAAAGGATGTTGATCTCAATAGATGCATTCACTCTTCCTAGCATTTTAGACATTATTATCTTCTCTCAAAGACGTTTTATCTAACAATAAGGGTTGAATATACAATTAATATGCTATCTTTTTCTGCGTGAGAAAAATCCAAGGTAGTACAGCTGACAATAAACGTCAAACGGGCAAACGTCAAACATGATACTTCTTGTTTCGGCAGAAAAGAATTCCTGGTCACGATCTTATACTTAATGCGTTGCGTATGTGTACATCGATACGCAGTTTCACGTATATCAGAATTACACGCGCGCGCGTCGCGACGCGTCACGCACACACGCGCCACTGACGTAACGCGATTGGTTGCATCGCATGCGTCTCCCACCACGGTGCCAACGGCGTAAACGAGATCGACAGAGGGAAAGGTGAATGAGCGAGCGAGAGAACGATACGACGTGCGGTGCTATTTCTGGCACGCAGTACTCGTGTATGTGTATATGTACACGCAGTGTTCGTGTCTGTGTTGTGTGTACATATAGTCGTTGCGCGGTGAACGCGGGCTGACATCGAGACGCAATTAGTTGGTAAACTGGTCAAGCTCGTGCGAGTAAGGTCGAATTTGTACAACGGAAATATTCGCCACGGTAAAATTGATTTCGACAGTGACCGTGATTTATCGCTGCAGTGAACAACAATGTTCGTGATTATGGATTGTTTTCGTCAGTAGCGGGCGTTACGCGTGAAATTCTCTTGTTTGTCTTCGCCTGTGTGAAGCAGCCACCTTTCCGTTAAAAGAGTTGGCGTCTCTCCTGACCTCCCGTCAATCGGAACATCACATAGCATCACCCGACGTCCTTTTGAGCACTTCGTGTGCGTGTGTGCGTGTGCGTTTTCGCGCGGCTTTCGCCGGAGAGACGGTGATTCCCGAATCCAGTCCATAGAGCAAGAGAAAAAGAGGCAATCGTCTTTGTTTCAGTGGATTCATCGCGTTGCGTTGAACGTTCTTCCTTCTCCGTTCGATCTATTGCTCTCTCGCTCCCCCACCGCGTATAGCCATCTCTCTCCCTCTTTCGCTTTGTCGCGTAGTGCGTGAGGACTGATCTCGCGTTCACCAGAGTCGCCCGAACTCGATCACCTTCCTCCAAATTCTTACTTAGGTATCTGTAATGTACAAATACAGTAAGAAAGCCGGGAAGACCACTAAGCTGACGATCAACCTCGTGCACTCGAAAAGGAAAGGAATTTTCATATATATAAAAGAGATGCCCAACGACCTGATAAGTCTTCGAAGTCGAAGAAGTTTTTTGACGTTTCGTTTGTACTGAACGATAACGCTGTGAAATCTAAGAAACAGGATCAAAACTACTCGAAGGCGAGTAAAACAAGGCTTCAAGGCCACGTAATGTCAACATTGTAAGGCGGATAGCCAAGGAGGTGCGTGTAGCGCAACGGCTTCCAGCTTTAAGCCGTAGTTTTTTTTTCATATAATCGAGGAGAGATCACTGTTATCAAGATGAAGCTGCTGGAAAATACGCGTTTAGAACAAATAAGCAGTGCCTTGTCCATTAAGACCGGAGATAGCGAGATAATTGCAAGGTAAGATAAAAACAAAACAAACTGCTTATCTTGTATCAATTTCAATGCTCTCTGATTGTCATTATTAACATGCAATTTTATCTTGTCGCAGGATTGAGAGTTACTCGTGCAAAATGACGGCTAATGATAAACAGATGTATAAACGATTTAATGCAGAAGAGGGACTCACGCCGCATGATCTACAAGCTTTATCACCACCGCAGACATACTTAGGAACATCGCCAGCTCAAGGATATCTGAGGTATCTTTAAGAGAGACACTGAAATTTATGATATTTTCTTCATTTAAAACTGCTTTACATCAATCATATTTACTTTATGATAAGACCAAGATACCTGCATGTCTGCGGTCATGTGTTGATACACTCCTATGTTTTTTCTTCCAGCCGCAGCGTTTCTGGTGATGAAGAAGGCCCGTTATGCGACACGATTAGCAGGAAAACCTTGTTTTATTTGATCGGCACATTGAATGCAGCTTTTAATCCAGACTACGATTTTTCAGACGCTAAGAGTCATGATTTCAGCAAGGAGCCAAGTCTGAAGAGCGTAAGGCATGCAGTGGATGGCAATCTCAATGCCACTGCCAATGATCATTATTCTAAAATGAGCGCCGCTCTTTGGGCGGCTATTGACGAAGAGATATCGTTGGCTGAATGTGATATTTACAGGTGAGTGTTTGGTTATCTGAAGATCGCCACGTTGCAAGTAGAAGAAACTACAAAATTATAATTGTTGCATAATCTTGAGTATTACATTAAATTTTCTTCGTAATGCGTTAAGTAAAATTAACAATGAAGATAATAAAATAATACATTTTATACAGCTACAATGCAGACTCGTCAAACCCGTTTGGAGAAGATGGATGCTGGTGGTCGTTTAATTATTTCTTCTACAATAAAAAACTGAAACGCATCGTATTTTTCATATGCAAAGCGATAAAGTAGGTATAAATTGATGTAAAAAAAAAGAAAATGCTATTTCTTTTTAATTTTATATAGATTTATCATGATTTATACGTTTTGCTTTGCAGTCCACTTTATGGAGATTCCGGGGTTGGTAGTGACTTCGCTATGGACGAAGATGATGAAGATTGATATTAGAACATTCATATATATGTGTATACATGTTTGCAATCCCTGTAATGTCACTTTTTTCTTCTATTTCCGTTAATTCTGCAGGTACTCGTTTATTCTTGACTATTACTTAACTTTAAATCTTAATACGACTGATTTGCATTTCAAATTACTTAACAAGGCAAATAATCCTTTAAAAATTATTTAACTTTAGAATTTCTGTTTACTATTAACTAATAAATTACTTGAATAAAGCAGTAAAATTCTAGAAGATAGAGCTCTTTTGTAATTAGATCATCTAATCGTATATTTTGATGTAATCTCTTTTTTTGAGATAAGAATTTCAGTTTTTGTCCTTTAATAGATATATTTCGTCTTTTAAAAAATTGAATATTATATCTGTATACCTATATTATCTACAAAAATCTTGTAAATTTATTAGAACAAGTTCTATAAGGATTCTATATCTTTATAATGTGTGATTACGTTATTACTCTCAATACATAATGTTAAACATATATTTTAAGGGCAAATTGTACGTAACAAAATACTATTATTACATACTGTTACATAATTCTACAATAAATTCTAAATCATTCAAAGAACTGATTCGAGTTCTTTCAAGATCACAACTAGATCCCTACCAATATATTATCAAAGTTGCAAGATTATAAAAAATTATAATTTTATAACTTCAGTACTATGCAAATGTAAAATTATTGTAATTTATAAGTACTTTTTTTTAACTACAGAATAACGTACAAAATAACAAAATATTAAAAACCGTGTATTTTTTAAAAAGAGAAATTTAATGTTTTTTTAGTTAAAATAACGAACAACACTAACTTCGAAAAGAACTAAATCTGTGTGTAAAGTTAACTAGACGGCATACCTGTCACGGACATTCTGATCTAGAGACCCTACTTGTAGGGATATTCTGATTAATTTTGTTCTCTCATTACAGTTGCACGTGTTTCATGCTCGAAGCTTCACTATTTGGTTAGTTTTATCCGAATGTCAAGTAGGTTCGTCAGTTTTAACAAGTATCAATAGTCAAGATTTTAAAGTTAAGTAAATCTGTTTCAAAAAATCTCAAGATGCTACGGTTTCTGGTGCGTAAATACATATTTGTATGATAATTTTCACAATTTCAGTGACGTATAACGTTACAATAATTTATGCAGATCAGCCTGAGTATCGGAGTATACGCCGGAATCTATATAGCACAAAATTATGAGGTATGCTGAACACATGATCAGGTATGAAAAAAAAAGATAGAAAATAACTGAAGGATTATGCTCTTGCGGGGTATAACAACAGATGTAAGGGGGAAGCATCCCCACGGTGCAGATAGCAAGATGGTGTAACCAATCAGATTTATCACTTTAATCCTCACAATTACCAGCGTTTTATTTTCTCCTCGCATTGACAAACCCTCTAGTTATTTCTCACCATGACAAAGTGAATTATAACTGATCATACTTTGCAGAAATGATGAAATGTATATATTTAAAAATTGCTGTTTCCTTTTCTTAATCACAATTTGTAAATTATATTTGTTTGATGCGGGCTATTCCCTTTTGAATTACTTATAATAGTTGCATTACAAATTATATGACCTGTAATATAAAATTTTCAATATTTCTTTCAATAAGTTTATAATTTTTTTAATAGGTTCCACGTGTAGACGAGCCAGCGAAATTGTATGAACGAGTGACGCAGTTTTTAGAAGACAATAAGAAGAAGCCATGATGAAATTATATATCTTTTTCTTACGCGTAACTTCCAATTCTAGAAGATGTAATATACCATTAATGTGATATGATGTAAATGTAACATTTAGTTGCATCTGAGGGAATGCTGCTACATCTGTGTATATATATCCATCATGTACAAAAAGACAGTCACTTATTTTTCCATACATTTATTTTAATAAACAATATTTAAATGTAGCATACTTATAACTTAACTCACAATCGTCCTCGAGCGTGTGCACGTAATTTTCACAGTACTAACTAACTGACTTCTTCGCATCAAATGTACATAAAACCACCACCAGAATATTCCACTCTCGTCTGTGGCTCAACAAATGCCAACCAATCGGATGCGTGTGTCGGCAGCAATCCCATTGACTGACATTTGTACAACGCTAACGCGATATTCACTAACTGTCCTAGGAAATACACGAACTTTTGTCCAAACGCATGCGTTCCTTCTATCACTTTGAATGCTGAACAGAGAAAATCCAGGGATTAATTTTAAGGGTTTACATTTAACAGTTTCAAATACTTACTTTGCTGAAGCGTGAATAATGCCTTGACTGGCCTGATAATAAGCATGCCGACCATCATGATGGGAAAAATTGAGATAGAACTTCCGGCCATATACATAATGAACAAATTCATGGGCACTTGTTTAAGAGGTCCCAGCGCCAGATCCCAGGACTTCTTTATTATCAGATGATTGGAATCAGTCTCTCTCATGTACTCCACATTATGAAAGACACCAGTAGGTGTGTATCCCGGTGGAGATGGTATCTCCACACTTTTGTCTTGTTTTGTTCTGCAAAGAGCAAACAAAGTTTAATAATAAAAAGCATTTACAATATACTGCAATATTTATTTATAAATTATTAAAGTTCTTTATGCAAGTTGTAAAATGAAATGATTATAGGTACAGTTTCAAAGTTTCGTAAGACCAATATAAAACTGTAAAAATGTAGAAAGGAAAATTAAAAAGGAGAAAGACATTAATGTTTTATGTGGATATAAGCGATTAATGAAATGTCAATAAGAGAAATGTATTCTTTCAACACGTGTTTTTTTGCCAAACTTTCGTCGAGGTTACGTACTTGTGAGCAAAGTCTAAAGCCCATTTTGACCGTTTGGAACCTTGCTTGGTGCTCGCTGTCATCGTCATCGGGATTATTCGTGCTGTTGAATTACGTTTGTATCCTCGACAAGCAACTACAGACGAAACGTGACGTGTATGATCAGTGTCATTTGAAGCGGAAACTCGGAGCAAGGATTGTTGCGCCAACTAATGTAAATTTTGTGAACTCAGATAAAACTCAGGACGGTAACGTCAGTAACGTCGGTAACGTCGCGTTTTCATCAGCGACAACAACATTAGTAGGGATGTGATGAACTGAAAATGGCCATGTGCAAGATACATAAGCATTGGATTATATCGTTAACATTATTTTATCCTGTTTCTTTTTTCAACATACAATATATAAACAAATTCATATAAATAGAAATCAAGATATAAATCAAATAGGGAAAATAATATTAAGTATATAAAATTGTAAATATTATGTACTGTTTCACATTTCTTTTATCACATTTTAATTGGAGAAAAATATTTTATATACTTAATATATAAAATTATAATGTTAAAAAAGATTTTTTTTTACACTTTTTGTCATCATTAATTATTAAGGAAACATCGACTGTCATTTAAAAAACAATGCAATAGATGTGAAATAGAACCTGAGATATAAATAAAATAGGGGAAATAATATTAAGTATATAAAACTGTAAATGATATTATGTATGTTTCACATTTCTTGTCACATTTTAACTGGAGAAAAATATTTTATATACTTAGTATGTGTAAAATTATTATAATGTTATAAAAGATTTTTTACACTTTTTGTGATCATTAATTATGAAAGGAAAATCGACTGTCATTTAAAAAACTATGCAATAGGTGTGGAATAGAACCTGACATAAATATAAATTAATTGATAATATTAACAAATAATTATAAATTAACGTGAAGCGTAAAAAATAAGGGAAACATTGAAGTATATAAAAGGGTACATCTTGATTCCGGCAGTGTGTGTAATTTATTTTTATATATATATGTGTGTATATATATATATAATATATATCATTATTATTTTTAATACAAAATATATACACAGTAGTGATTGAAAGTTTCAAAAACTACGAATCAAGGCTGATGGCAGTGTTTGTACCTGATACTTTTAACGATCTATCGGAACTCTTTGTCAAACGTATCCGCTCTTCAGGTTTCAGAATCTCAGCTATTATCTTTTCGTCGCTGCGCCGTTCTTGCGTCGGCCGCATGGCTTCCTGAAGCTTCTTTTTACATTGATTCGCCGTATCACAGGACTCGTCGCCGCCACCGCCACTAACCGAGATGCCTTCCTCGGCAACTGAAGCTAGTTGCGCCGTTTGTATTTCAGTTAGAGTAAGTCTTCCGTTGATTTTGCCCTCCGCAGGACTGAGAGACTGCTGTCGAGGACTAGCCTCGGAGCTAGGAACAGATTGAATGGGATTCTCCTCCGTGCCGATCGGTATTTTCAGAATGTTGACTGGTTCTGCGTAAAGCTGCATGGAAAAGCATCACAAATTATTTAAAATAATGATTTAATGAGTTTGGAATAAATAAATAATAAACATTGAATAAATTTGAAATAGTTAGAATTAGAAATTATTTTTTATCATCTAATTTAATCTCTCTATAATATTTGTAGCGCTGTGGAATAAATTTAGAATCTTGTAAGAAGTCAGTGACAGACGCTTCAATATAACTGTCAGTAACATAGCTGTTAACTCTTAAACATTTCGCAGTGTCATGCTGATTAAACTTAGAGACAAGTTCTTTGCATGACTCTATAATTTGCTAAGTTTTTCTTTTCAGAAATTTCTTCCACTGATTATGCATTGCGCCAGCGATAAAATAACGCTGACGCGACTGCTGACATCACGAGAATCATGCGATTACTCGGGAATTGGTAATAGAATGTGTCAGGACTTACCGCCTCGAATGGAGAATCTAGAAACAACTCTTGCAGAAATCGCCGCGCCGGCATTCTGTACGTACCGCTGCTCAAACGAGCAGCTACATCCGAAAACAAACAGGTATCCTACAAGAAAATAATACAAGTGTAAAAAATATAATGTATTTTAACATATATTCGAAATATTACGAAAATGAAATATACGACAAACTGCTACAATACCTGAAATTTCTCGGGATACCGCTGTCTCAATCTAAGTAACGATTGACGACTGTAACGATACCACACAGGATTGGCCAGCCGCTGAGTGTGCCTAAGTATTTCTCTGTACAACAGAATATGTGAACAATAAACTATAATATTATATCAATTAAATATCACTAATACGCGAAAGTATTTATTCTGTATAATTTGAAATAAATCAATTTAAAAAATTTTTATTTTAATAAATTAATCTAAATGAATTAAATTAAAATTACAAGTTACAATCTCAAATTTTTAATTCTAATACATACAATTAGAGTTTGTTGTTTTACATTTTTAATATATATTTTAATTACACAACTTTATCTTTCATCCTACTAATAATTCTTCAAAAATATTTCTTACCTTCTCAATTTTATATCCTGTTCCGTGCCGATATCCCTGTGACTTTTGCCATGATAACAAACTAGACACGTGCGACAGTGTTCCGTGTCAGCGTCGTATTCCGAGCTAGACTCTTCGTCAATTCCGTTGTTTCTAATTCGGGTCTGATAATATCCTCGAGGAGAGTCGACTGAAATGGTTGAGGAGGCTCGGGAAAAATCGCCAGCAATCTCCTTGGCAGACAGATACCCATATAGAATAGATTCTCATTGTCGTCCTCTGGAGGAGGCGGCGTCGGAGTGAGAATCGCGTTCTCCGCAATCCAGCTGCGGGACGAATCGTACTCCGACAGACTTTGCAACGAAAGACGGCCGTCTAAACTGTACATCTGCGAACAGAAAGATATTAATGCTGCAGTTATCTTGTTTAAAAATGTTATTAAATCACAAAAGAATACAAAAGGATTTAATGATTCACGTACTTCTAAACTACTTTGAGAGTAACTCGGCCTGCGATGACGTTGTAAACTACGGAGTCGTGCGTATCCTTCAGCGTCTTGTTGGCTTAATCTTTGTACACTCGAAACGGGACTTGGAGTTTCGCCTCTCTCTCTAAAAAAAAGAAAATAAATTATTATCAAAATTGATACGTAAAAGAATACTCAGAAAATATTTCTTCTAATTTTACAATTATAATTTAATTTCAATTTTAAGTTTATAATCTTATTAATTTTCAATTCCAGTTAAAAAATCAGAAAATCCTATTTTTCTGTTCGAAGCTTCTATATTAAATAATTAAAATAACAAGAAAATTCGCTTTTAACTAAAATAGCTTCCTTCTTCTTTCAAAATATATGACCTTTAGCCGCTTTATCGCTACTCACGGAAGAATATATCGTCGCGCCTCGAGATCCGTGGCAGCGCTCTCAGAACGATTCCTGGTGCGACGCGCGATCGGCTCAGGCAGTTCCGGCTTGCCGTCACTGAGACTACGATGATGCCGTTGTACAGGAAGCGGGCTCGGCACAGGATATCTGATCGACGGCGGCACCACGGGCCAATTGTCGCCGCGTCGATGACGCACACACGGCCAGTTGAAGTTTATCAGTGCATCAGCACCGGCGCGCGTGGTGCCGATCAGGCTGAGAGCGTACATCGCGGTGGCGCGCACCGAATAATACGGACATATCTCCGCCATGGACGTAATCATCTCGATAATACCCAAGTGACTGAGATGTTCGACGCCGGCAACGGACGCTCCCGCGTGTCCGAGCGCCCAGAGCGCCGACTTGACTTTGAGAATGCCGCCGTTCGGGCCGACGGAATGATCGTCGCGCAACGACTCCGTGGTCTCCATTCTCCAGCTTCGCTCGGGAGTGGTGTGCCTAGAGTCGTCCATGCTGGTCTTCCGACGGATCTCCATCAGCGATTCCGTGCGCAGCTGGCTGGTAGCGTCGCGCGCCTCGCTCTCCACCGCCTCGGAGTCGGGAATCGTCTCGAGGCGACTGCACTGTTCCACGGCCTCGTCCGTGCCGGACTCCTCCGACACGATGGCGTCATCGGCGACGGTGGACGCCGCGGCTGTGCCGCTGACGGCGGCCAATCGGCTCGCCCGGGTGCATCGTGAATTGGACTCTGAATCGCGACCGCCGAACTCCAGCTTGAATCGCTGTAGCACTCGTGCAAAACGCTGTATCACATTGCGGCGCAGCAGCAACTGCATCCCCAGATCGTGCTGCGCCAGCTGGCCGATCAGATGTGGCGGCACGAAGATATCGCGCGGGCCCATCGCCACGTTGGTGGTCCTCCGCTGGTAGCTCCCGGTCTCGTCGCGCTGTCGGCGCGTTAGCGCGTCGTGTATGTCGCCTTCCACGAGGCCGACGTATCGCTCAGCGAAACCGCCGGGTCCGATCCATTTCTCCAGCTCCTCCGACGGCGCGGCAAGACTCGCAAAGCCTTGTTGAAGAGAGTAGAGTCGGATTTTCAACAGATAGCCCTTATCACCTAAATGCTGCAGCCATTTGTCCCAGTCGCGCGATTGTCCTCCCTGCTGCAGCAATGCCTCCAGATATTCAATCTCGTTGCAGGCCTCGTGCAACGCCTCCAAGGCCGCTAACGCTACGGCCGTTGAATTGTCAGACAGCCGATCCGCCAGCAACATCATCGCCCAGCGCACGGCGTCCGTCATCCTCGCGCGGAGTATCAAACGTAGAAACTGCGTGGCGTACAATCGAGTGCTCCACAGCGTCGCTTCGGAAATGATCTTGCTGAGCACCTTCCTGTTGGGGCCGTCTCGCGAGTAGTCCAGACTGGAGACGATCAGCTTGACGTAGCAGTCGTGATTAGTGGCCAGCGCGAGCTCCTGCAGCTTCTCCAGTAAATTGAAGCTCTTGAGGACCACCGTACCTTTAGCCGAATGGCTCAACTGGCCGAGGAAAAGGAAGTACTTTTGGCAGCACGTAGTAGACATGTGACGCGGCGAGAATAGGCAGTCGTGCGCAGACTCGGCAGTACGGATGTTACTTATTTGCTCGGCTATGTCGCCGATCAATTCGTTCAGCAGGCGCGCGCCTTCCGGCTCGTGCAGCTCCAGCAGGCAATTTAGCAAATCGCAGCCAGCGAGGGTCGCCTCGCGCGCCAGAATCGCGCTCGTTCCCAGCTCGACTCTGCTATAGCCGTTCCACGAAGGTTTAAAGTAACGCACGAGCCGCTTCATGAATACCCGATGATCGGAGTCGTGTAGAATTCGCGTGGCATCTTCGCGCGACCGCAGGATCGCCCGTATCACCGGCCAGTTCCAGGCGAGCGCGTCCTTCGAGCTGAGCACCTGCGCGTCCTTCAGCAACGGCGTGATCGGCGATTCCCGACCGATTCGCAGCCAGTTCCGACCGGGCGGTCGCTGCCGTCGTGGTAGCGTCGGACGCAGCCAGGTGCCGGCCTGCAGGATCCGATCGAGGAAGAGACTAGCCGGGGTCGGTCTACGTCGCATCATGGTGTGCATCCGCTCGAGGATGGTAACCGCTGCCAGCGCCTGATGCTTGCCGGTGCTCGCGTGCTCCAACAGATTCGGCAGAGGCGGCGTGAGATCGCAGAGCTCGGATGGCAGGAGCGAATGCGCGAGGTGCAGTAGCGCGCCCAAGAGCACCGCTGCGCGTACCGAAATAAACGTGTCGCTGGAGACGATGGTCTCCGCGAGGGCACGATGCAGACCGCACTCGAGAAGAACGTAGACCAGCAACGCCGAATGTATCTCCGTGATGTTGGGACAGTGCGACGACAGGGATGGCAGTACGAACTTGCCTTCGGCGGCGACGAAGCCTTCGGACAGCTTCCAGGAGTCCCGCGATCTGCTGGGATCCACCGCGGCCAGCGCGACGTCCGGTTCGTCGGTCCATGTAGGCAGCGGTAAGTCCAGCAATTCGTAGAGCAGCTCCAGCACGGCACCGCGCACCTCCAGCTGTTCCACATACAGGATATCCGCGATGGATTTGAGAGCTGAATTATTGTCCGGTCGGCAGAAGTGAAGGACGCCTGGATACGAGCGCAGGATGCTCAAGAGGGCTAGCTTGCTGGCGGCAAATCTCTGCTCGCGCTCTTCCTTGGTTCTTTCTACGTTGGAAGAGTGCAGTTCGCAGTAGGGCGCGGCAAAGCACAGGAGGGACACGCTGCCGCGAGTGTCGGGATTGTTCAGCAGTCGCAACAACACGCCGACGATGGTTTCAACTGCGGCGGCGCTCTGACCGGTCATCGCGGCTCTCGCCAGAGCGCCGACGCCGCCGCAGCTTATGAGCAAGTTCGAGTTTAGGACACCCAACTCACACAACGTTGCTAAAAATGCTCTAAATGCACGGTCCCGTTCCTCTATACCGCCGTTCGTTAAACTGACCAAGGATCTCGCTAGAGCAGGACTAAAATGCCGGGGGGCTAATACTAGGATCCTCCTGACGAGTCGAAGAGCCTGCATCCTCTCCATCTCATTTCGCAGATTAACGTCCATGCTGCGCGCCAGGAAGTACGGATACTGCAGTCTGTTAATTGCAATAATATCCTGTTCCTTCTTGAGCATGTAACGCACCGCTCGCAGCGCGGCGGCGCGCACTTGCGTTGCCTCATGGACCAATCCCACGCGCAAGCTGAGAAATAGAAAATGCACAATTATGTAATTATTATTGAATGATCTAACTTTTTTGACAGATTGTTGCCAGTAATTCTTACCAACAGAACAAATCTTCCGCGGAGTATCCATAATCATGGGAATCGTTTTCGCTAATCAACTTAACAATAGCATTAAGATACGCTAGCTTCTTTACGCTTGGAACATTGTGACGCTGACAAAGATTGATTAAAACCTCCTTGACATTCTCCTTTAGTCCTGTAACATAAATTAATTTCTAACTATTTATAATTTACAAAAAGGTGATGTAGGTATTACATGTTCTTAGATTAAGAATAATAGTGATTGAAATGACTAGCATGGATAAATGGCAATAATGGAGTAATTCAGAAAAAATTAAAAATGGGATCTACTGCACACTTTTAAATATACTAAATTTTTTCTCTTCTTCTTTTTTTAATTCAGACTATATTAAAATGCATTTTAAACTCTCAAGTAGCAACAGATTTATATCGTCGGTATCGTTCACCATTAAAAAATATCCAAACGTTCCATTGTCAAAGTATGCAGCAAATCAGTCGTCGACGGGGCAAAGTGCAACAATATTGCGCAATATTACAGCGAAAGATGAATAAACACACGGAAAAGCGGAACGTAACGTCGTCGAGTAAGATGATGAGAACGATTTGTGACTGTAATAGGTTAGGTTACTAACCTCTTGACAGGTCGAGTTGCACGCAGTTGTCCTCCGTATCTTGGCGGCCTGCAATTAAAAAGAAAAGGCAAAGAGATGAAGCGCGAAATGTGAGACGATATACTTTAACATTCACACAAAAATTTTCACTGCAATGTACACGCACTTCGATGAGATCGGCCGGTACGTAGGCTCCTACCCCAGATCATCCAGCTCGCGATTGCCATTGTCCAGCGGCGCGTCGAGTCCAGCTGGACAGGTCCTCAAAGTCCACGATTTCCGCCTTCGATACGCCTCTTTTCAACCGTCGCAATCGCGTTGCTCCAGTTCAACGACGCTCCTCCCGGTGCGTACGTGATCGTCGCGCGTTGCCCGCGCGTCGCGATATGTCATTCTCGGCCGCAAGCGGGAGTACTGAGCGTAGAAGCGAGCAAGCGAGCGAACAGGCGAGTACGAAGCACTAGGAGTGCGTGCGTGCGTGCGCACGCGAATGCGCGAGTGCCTGTCGACGAACGTCGCACACCGTACTCCAGAGGCGAAGGCGTCACATGAGTATTCAACGGCGACCAGCAGCGGTACACCGCGATGACTCGCGCCGTTGTCGCAACTGCCTCCCTGCTCGCCGCCGAATAACCGTAATGACAACTTGTCTAGAAGAAGACAACGATAGCAAAAAAAAAAAAACGAGGGCGAGATCACGCAGCACGCGCTTTCGCCGCTCCGCTTTCGCGCTCCTCGTGCCCGGCTGGCAAACACAGGCGAGCAAACGCGCCGCACGTCGCGCTGCTCGCTGTAATCGCCATCATCATAGAGTTTATATATATACCTAGAGACGCCTTGCGCAGCTCAAATCGTAGAAGCAACCTAAGAGACAAAAAAGGAGAAATTTTTCTGTCTTATTCTTTCTATCCTTTGACTATAAAAATATGGACCGCTAGAGCCAACTTCACGTTGGTAGCCAAGATCTGTGGCGACACCGTGTGGCAACGGGGCCGGGAATAACAAATCCATACAATAGCAGAGAGAAGACTGAGAGTGGACATGCCCGCATTTTACGTGTTTCTGTGGGTTAGCGCCTCTATGTGCACAAAACGTGCATATTAAACTACGTAGCCAATGTCCACGAATCCCGTAGGTAATGTCCATGATCTTTTGGGTCTCTTCCGTGCTACGTCCACGACTTTTTGGTTCTGATATGTGCTATATCTACAAAGTCTCGGTAATGCATACTTGTAAAACATGATTATGTATATCAATCAGATTTAAAATATAAATACACACGTATTGTAAATACATGTATTGTAGCACACACACACACACATTTAC